CAAATCAAGTTGGCATATACTACTCCCCTCAGGAATTTTCAATCTAAGAAATATCTAGCACTGTTGAAAAATCTTAACAAATCTGTATTACATGGGACACACTATCTACTTGCTCTAGTTAAAGAAGTTACTGGTTAGTTGCTATGGAAATTTATGTCAGTCCACTGATACACAATAACAGACCTTAAAAAAAAATAGGTAACCTTTAAGGCAGGTATTAGGTTGGATAATGAACAGAATTAGTAATTAAATAATAAATAATTAAAAGGAAGTAGATTAATGAGGCTTCTTCAATCAGATAACTATTAGAGGCTATGCTTTTTTTTTTAAGATTTATTTATTTTAGAGCGAGCACACATGCACAAGCATGAGTGGGAGGGACAGAGGGAGAAGGAGAGAGAATCTCAAGCAGACTCCATGCTGAGCACAGAACCCATCGTGGGGCTCAGTCTCCCGAACCTGAGATCATGACCCGAGCTGAAACCCAGAGTTGGACACCCCCAAGCTATGCTTTTCTATGTATTATAATCTGGGAGAAAAGGCAAATATGGTAGAATTGAAGGATTTCACCTCTTTGGTTGTCTGTTCACCAACATATGCTATGTGCAATATATTATGTGCATATACTATGTGAAATATTTTGTGAACCTGCTAAACTGAAAAGATTAATCAGGTATACATTATGTCTTCAAGGAGCTTACTTGAGATTGTGAAGAGGTTATGTACATAAATAACAGAGTTGTAAGGTAGAAATAGTGCATCCTGGGAATCTAAAGAAGAGTCTTTATAACTAAGACTATCAAAAAGCTATGGAGGAAAGTATTTCAAACAAGGGAATGGACAAAAGCTCTAAATCAACAAAGAATATGGCCTATTGGGCAACCTGAGTAGTTTGTTTATATGAAGGGTTAGAGCAAAGAGTTTGTGGGAGTAAATTGGAAGGGTAGAGTAAGGCCAAATTACAGGGCAAGGTTTAGATCTTAATTATTGTTCCTAGCTGTAAAATTCTAGTGCCTGGTACATTACATTAATAGGTATCCGAATCATAGTAGATGTCAAATAAATATATGAGGAATAAATGAATGCATTCAAAAGCTAAATTGGATTATTTTGTAAGTAAAGGGATATCATTTTAGGTTTCTGAACAGAAAAGTGTGTTGGGGAGATTTACGTGATAATTGTGTGCAGAAGGGCATGAGCAGGTGAGAAAGCAGATGTAGAGAGAGAAGTTAGAAGGCTATCATGATAGTTGAAGTAAGAAGGCCTAAACTGAGGAGGCTTTGTAGAAATAAATAGGGACTGATGTGAGAATTATTACAGAGGTATGATCATTAAACTTGATTATTGAAGTGTTTTGTGGGGAGTAGTGCAGAGTGGGAATAGTCAAAAGTCTAGCTATGGTTTCAAGCTGAGGTGGTAGGAAGACCATGGTGTCATAAAGCATGCCTGGGATTAGGGAGGAAGGTTAGGTGTGGAGAAGAATATAGGGAGTTCTTTTTTTTTTTTTTTTCAAGATTTTAAATGGCAAATACCAGTAAGGTATTCCAGTGGTGTAGCAAGTGGTTGAAAATGCAGGATTCACTTGGTAGAAAGGTTGGGCCCACCTAATTAGGTGAGACCTTAGGAAACACATTTTCAGAGGGCCAGGAGAGACTAATGGGTGGGTCAGAAAAGAAGGTACCAAACCACAATGCACTGGGTAGGAACGTAAGGGGGTATGAATTTCAAGGTGGAGGTGATGGTTAACTAGCTGTAATGAAGGCTAAAGAGAAGTCACTGCTGAGGACTAAGAAAAGATCTTTGAATTTGGTGAATAATTCACCACAGAATAATACTGGGGAGGGGGGGAAGAGGAGGTAAGTTGAAGGATCATCATGTTGATTAGCCTTAATCATTTTTGTGAAATAAAAGGCAAAACCATTTTCAGAGACTAAGGGTTGCTTGCCTAGAGTATTGCACATAAGATTAGAAAACAGCCTTTGTCAAGGGGAGCATTTAAATAAATGAATTTTGTTAAGATTTATGTATTACATTTTTTGACTGCTGCTTTGACATAATATTGGTTGCTTCACCAAGTATGAACTGGCTGTAGTTGGGAATGTTTGAACAATGTCTGGCTCCCCCCATTTATCAGGGCTGTTGTAGAACATGCCTCTATACTGGGAAAGAGGCTGGATTAGAATGGGAATCTATGGAAATGAATGAATTATATCTTTAGATTTCTTGATCTTGAATAGGTAGTTGGTAGGTAGAGTCAGTTATTTTATATTTTCTCATAGAAAATTTCCTGAGAAACAGGAAATTTACTTCAAACTTTAGAATTTTATAACAATAAAGCAAAAGACTTTGCAGTTTTCCCATTTAATTCTTCCCAGTGACACTGGGAGGTAGATGTAAAAACTGAGGATGGGGTTCAAGACTCCAGCGTCACATAACTAGTTGAAGATTGAGCCAGGATTTGAAACTTCATCTGTCCAAATAAGATTCATGTCCTTGACATACATCATACTTATTTTTTAGTAAGTTGGATGGCAAGACATTTTAGACCTTGATAATGATCTGGTAAAAGTCATGATGGGAGTGTGGAAGGATCAGAAGAAATCAAGTTTATAAGAGGGGCAAAAGGGCCGGGCTAAAGGGGGTAAAAAAAAGCTTGTCTAGCAGTAGAACAGAATGAGTAAGTATATACATATATACTTTACATGTATTTGAGTACATTTATATGCATGTATATGTATATACTTCTGAATGTACGTATATGCATTATATATGTATCACAAATGCATATAAGTACATATGCTTATATATACTATTTAAGATATTCTATATTATTTATGTTTTTTTTTCATTTGGCAAGACTGCTGCATTCATATATTTATTGTTAGTATTCCTAGATTTTAATATTTTAACTATAATATAAAAATTCAAAATTGAAGGTCTATTTAATATATATTGCTTTTAATTTTGAAAAGTAGCATATACAGAGTCTTTAGCAGTTCAACTATATACTTTTAGAAAGGAGTAAAAGTAAAATTTAAGGCGCTTTAAGAAATGGAATATCAGGCTGTTTTGGGTTTTTTATAGAATGGTTGTATGTACCCTGTGTTGCTAAGGACAATGTAACATTGTGGGAAGACTCACTTTGTAATCATTTATATATTAAACTAATGTGTATTGAGTGACTACTCTGTATGAGGAACTAATTCAGGTATTGGGGATACCATAGTGAAAAAAGACCAAATTCTAAGCAATAATAGGGCAGCCATGCAAAACTCTGGAGGAAGAGCATTGCCAGGTGGGAGGATGGAGATGGCAAAGGTTCTTAGGCTAGAGTGAGCATGGCATCTTCCGGGAATGGGGAAAAAAGGCCAGTGTGACTGAAGTCTGGATGGCAGAGGGAAAAATTGTAGGAGAGTGTGTTAGAGAAGCAGGGGCCCAGATCATGTAAGTAAATCTATATTCTGAGTATTGTGGGAAGTATCCTTTGTGGGATTGAAATAAGGGAGATGAAGAGATTTGATTTGTAACTTTGAGAAGCTTTATCTGACTGTTGCTGGAGAATGAGTGGATGGTAGGGTGGAGTAGGATGGGATTTAAGAATAGAAGCAAGGACTGAGGGTTGCTGGAGTGGAGGGGGGTGGGAGGGATGGGATGGTTGGGTGATGGACATTGGGGAGGGTATATACTATGGTGAGTGCTGTGAATTGTGTAAGACTGATGAATCACAGACCTGTACCCCTGAAACAAATAATATATTATATGTCAATAAAAAAAATAAATAAAATAAAACATCTTTTTAATATAAAAAAATAGAAGCAAGGAGGCTAAGATGAATTGAAGGAGTCTAGGCTAGAGTTGATGGTGCCTTGATTTAAGCTTTTAGCAGGGAAGTATAGGGTAGTTGGAGTTAAGATATGTGGAACTTGGGGGTTATCTTATGGGACTTAATGATATTGGGTATAGGAAATAAGAGAAAGTGAAGATCCAAGATTGACTTCTATTTTTGATATAAGTAAAAAATCTGGATGGGTGGGTAGTGTCATTTAGGAGGTTGGAGAAGTTTGGGGAGGCGCAGGTTTGGAATAAAATCAAGAATTCTGTCTTGGACATGTTAAGTTTGAGATGCCTATTAGACATCCAAATGGAAATGTTGAAAGGATAATTATATATAACTTTGGAGAAGCAGTGACTGATGGAAATTTGAGTCATCATGATGTACCTAAAGAACTGGATGAGAACACCTAAGGGAAGAGTGTACATAGTAAAAATGTGGATGGGAATCTGAGTTCTGATAACTGAGTGCCTTGGAGAAGTTATTTAACCTTAGTTTTCATATTTCTCATATTTCAGTCATTGTGAATTGAGATCATATAGGGCTTGTTACATAAAAGGTAATAAATGACAGCTATTATTTTAATGGCAGTTTTATTTTTAGATGGTAATTTTAGGTATTAGTCATATTTAAACTGCCTTCAGCAAGAAAAAGACCCTTTCCTTTTTCAAAATAACTTATGGTCTACTATAAACTTTTCTCTAGATAGAGGCTTTTATCTCTGGAATTTTTCACCAAAGAGGCGGCATGGAGGGCTAAGGAAAAGTACAAGAAAGATAAAGAGACAAAAATGTTCAAGCAGCATCATAGCTCTGCCTAGGGTACCATTAGTGCCTTCTTGTTTTAGCTTTCTGTTTCATTCATCTCACATTTCTGGGTACAAAACATCTTGGCTTTACATCTTTTGAATCTTGTAATGTACTACATACTGCAGTTGCTCAGCAAATAATAATAATTTTCATATACATGAAGTACACTGTTCTTCTGAGACTTCGGTTCCCATTTAAATGCCTTGGGAAACAAATTCCACGTTTTCTGCCAAATCAGAATAGATCACTCTCTTTTCTTGCTCAGAATGCATTTTGTGCTTGGAATTATATTAAAAAATAATTTATAGCAGTACTTCTAAAAAGTCTACTAAATGAATGTTCTGTCAATTGTGTTACAGAGTTACAGATTTTGTCAAGGAAAATTACAATTGATTTTAGACCAGTTGGATCCTGGGCAACCTAAAGAGGTAAGTTTAAAGGATAGCTGTCAAGTTCAATCAGGTATATATATTTATAATATATTAGACTATAATCAGTAGTAGGTGGACTGTTTCTCTTAAAGATAGGCTTTTATTATCATGGTGCTCCTAGACTGATGTCGCTGCTAGACTTTCCAGTCTTGAAATGAAAGGTCACAGAATAAGGGAGGCTGTCAGAGAATTGTCACGGTTTGTAGGAGGAAATTTTTATGTCTAGTTTCAGTTTTGAAGGGATAAAGTTATAAGCAGTTGTCTCCCAGACTGTTCTTTCACTGTTGCTTTGTATGTGATATTTTAGTGATTTCCTTGAAGAAAAACGATCTTCATTTAATGTTCTTTCTACTTCTGGAAAATGTGAGCAACTTTGACACATGTATTCATTTATTAGAAAAAGGATTTTAAAGAAGGAGTTCTATTGAATTGTGCCTGTTTATATTTTAAGATTATATACATTGCTGTTTATCATCTTATTTCATTAAATCAGTCTGAAATAGAAAATAGGATTTTAAGTACCTAAGACTTTTGTGCATATCTTGCCAATTGGTTTCAGTTTTTGAAATGTTTTTCAAGTTTTCATTTTATTTTACTTTATTTTTTAAAGATTTTATTTATTTGAGATAGAGCACGCGTGAGCACAAGTCAGGGGAGGGACAGAGGGAGAGGGAGAAGCAGGCTCTCCACTGAGCAGGGAGCCCAACTTGGGGCTCGAAGGCAGACACTTAACTGACTGAATCATCCAGGCGCCCTATATGTTAACAATCTTACTGTCTTCAGTTTAAGTGGATTTCTTGGAAATCTGTACTTGTTCGGAAACTTTTATTGTGCTTCTGCAAGTAATAAATTCTTAATGGGATTTTGTCCTAAAAATTAACTGAAAAGGAGAAAATATTTAATGTTTCTAAAATCTCTCCAAAGTCCTCCAGTCCCTATCACAAATATAGTTGTGTTTAGGAGTTCTTCTTTCATAAGAATATATAGACACTTTTAAGTGCATGTGTATTCTTTTTCACCTAAAACTTGATTTAGAGTGTTTGGTTTCCTAAGGTCTTAGCTTCTCCTGCCCTTCCCCCCCCCGCCTTGCCCTTTTTAGACCACTAGGTTTCAGTTATTTCAGCTGGAGAAACAACCAGATTTTGAGAAACGGGTTGTAATCAGTGTGTTATTACTCACTAGTTGGAGAGTGGTGGGGGAGAAGCCTTGCTCCATTCATGATTGGAGTAGAGCTGTTTTTCACTGCTGTCGTTTGGGTCATACTGTTTTGGGTGAATTCTGATTCGATTTTGCAAAGAATGATTAAGAAGTAAGCTTTCCATGAAAATACAGACATTCAATTTTGCATCACACTGTTGACTTTTCCTACCTCAGTGGTTAGAAGGTCAGAAAATACGGTGTAGCAACAAAAACTAGTCCAAATTATTTTGTGAGAATTGTTCCTATATTCTGGAATGGGAATGCTTCACCAGGGGCATATTATGCTATTTTTAAAATTAAGGCCCTCAAACTATAGGACCACCTATAGGTGCCTACTTAAGTAGGGAAAATGTGTGAGACAAATCCATTGGAAAACCTTGCCCTGGTGATTCAGATTTGGCCACCATTCTTCTTCCTCTTTCACTTAGACATGTGACCTAGAATCTCCAACAGTTAGGTTTTAATTTTTGCTTTATGTAAAATAACAACCTATTTTTTTCTGTTTAACACTTAAAGTTTCAAAAAATGAGTTCTCAAAATTGTTTTATAAAAGGACTTCTGATTTTCATCAATTGGCTCTTTGAAACAATTATCTAGACTGCTTTTCAATGTTTAATATTTGAAGTATTGGTGGTATTCTAGTGGCTGGGTATTAATAAAACATGTTTTAAATTATAGGTGAGATACGAAGCCTTGCAAACGTTATGTTCGGCTCCGCCATCTGATGTTTTGAACTGTGAAAATTGGACGACTCTCTGTGAAAAACTGACAGTGTCTCTTTCAGATCCTGATCCTGTGTTTAGTGTAAGGAAATACACTGAGCAAGACAGAAGTCTTTGCTTCATAGAACTTACATTCTAGTAGAGGAGTCAGTGAACAATTATTAAAGAAAAAAAATCTCAATATGTTTATCTGTTGAAAATCGCATTCTTCCATCTATGAAGATATAATTATACTGATAAACAGAAGTGGTTTGGAAACAAGTGGTTTGTTGTTTTTATAAGGGGGGGAAATGTGTTCAATTACCTAATATCTGGATGCAGTTCAACCTGACCCCAGATGATGATGCAGACTTCTGTAAAAACTCAATGATCCAGGAACTTCAAAAGGGAAAAAGATATTTCAGGGTCGCTTTTAACATTTCAAGGCTTTCTAAAAGCAAATACAGTTGTAAATTTCTCTGTATTTTTTTTCTTAACAAAGAAAAGTGGTCAGAGAGGTTTCCTTTTAAAAAGTTATTTAACAACTTTATAAACAGTAAATATCCTAATGGGTCAATATAAGTGGCTTTGTTTAGCCATTATAGATTATTCAGCAAGAATATTGTCAATGTTTAATAAAATGGGAAGAAGTTGTTACAGAGGGGAAATGGTAATAGAACCAATCATTTTGGACTGGAAAACAAGACGTGGCATTCTTTTTTGAATTTATGCTTGATCCAGATTCTTGAGTTGGATTCTGTTTCTTCATTTCCTATTCTAAAAGACTCTTGCATGTAACTGAGTGAAGCCTATAGTGTTTGAAGAGTGTGACAGATACTTACCAATTGCTGTAACTATAAAAATAAACTTTCCAAAGTATTTAATATCCTGTATTCAGTAAGAATTCCTTCGGGTTATTAGAAATTTTTAGTCATTTGGGTAACCATTTTTTCTAATTATGCTACATTTGATATAGGCAAGTTATTTACCCCCGCCCCAGAGTAGAACACTTGAGGAGATGTTATCTTTTTCTTTAATGGGATATTGAATTTCACGATTAGGATTAATTTCATCACAATATTAAAGTTGGTAAAATTAAAATGATAGCTGTCATTTGTAAGTACTTACTAGTGCCAAATACTTTTCTAGCTACATCTATTAACATTTAATTCATTTACCTTGTGATAGTTTCTACTTTAGGTTTTAATAATGTAAATTTGGAAGATGTGTTAAATAATTCTTTTCTTGGGAATGGGCAAAATATTAGAGTCCTAAATGTCAAATTACTGAAACTACCCATGTAAACAATTTTAAAAAACAACAGATGTTGGATTTGGAAGAGTGGAGTATTTTTTGTTTGTTTGTGTTAACCATTTAGTACTCCTACTTTTCCCTTGATACCCTCACATTGTACCTTCTTCTGTCTATCAAACCTCACTCTCTCCCCTCCCATGTAGTTTTAGTCAATTTTACTTTATACTGACCAACATAAGATTGTGCTTTTATTTATAAGTACATTCCTACTTAAGTTTTGAATGGATTATTTGTTTATTTTCTAAGTTTTTCACTATGTGAAAAATAGGTTTTTCATCTCTATTCTATTTTTGTAAGAATCTCTGATGCAAATCTTTTCATTTCCACAGGACCGGATTTTAAAATTCTATGCACAGACGTTTACTCTTTCACCATTACATATGACCAAGGAGATTTATACAAGCTTAGGTATGTTTATTAAATTTTTTTGTGCTTAAGAAAATGGATAGGAAATAACTTTTCAGAAAACACTGTAAATGAATGATATCATATTTTTAAATTTTTCTTTTCAGCTAAATATTTGAAGTTATACTTTCTTTCTAGAGAAAATTATATTCCTACTCTTTCAGCTGGTATAGATATAAGTAATCCTAATGTGATCTGCTTACTTAAAAAGGTATTCACTTGCTATATGCTTTTTTAAAAATTTAAATAGTTCTATATTTAAGAATTCTGATTTTTGAGAACTGTTACGCACTGCTTTTCAGGTTCGTCTTCTAAATGAATATCAGAAAGAGGCTCCATCTTTCTGGATTCGTCACCCAGAAAAGTAAGTCCTCTAATTTATGCTAATATAAAATATAGGGGTGTTACTGTCCCATGTACATTACAAGGAGAAAGAATAGAGACAGTCTTAATTGACTTACGTTTTTGGGAAGGGGTTCATAGGTTTATTTAGCTTTTCATGTTTTGTGCTTTCCTACATGAATGGCTCTATGCAAATATCATTTTATATTATTTATTTATCACAACAAAGCAAAATGAAGTTGTTGTAGCCTCCAGTTCTTTTATAATTTGTCTTTGCTAGTTTAGACAGGTTCCTTAAGTGTTCTTTAACCTTTTCCTTTCAGTTCTAAAATTTTTTAATAAGGTTGTAAGAGCAACTGTAAATCTAAAAAGGAAAGTTAAGTTTGGAGAGCCAGTGTTGAAGTAGAAAGAATATATGTTTTATAAAAAGCAGGAAGAAATTGGGTGTGAATCCCACCTCTACCATTTGCTGAACCATAAAAAAAAAAAGTTGTTTCTAAAAATTTTCACTTCATTATTCTATAAATATAAAATATATCACTGGTACAGTGGGTGTGTGTATGTGTAATAGCATTTGTTTTTTTCTAAAACTGTTTCGTTCCCAAACTTTAAGGTATATGGAAGAAATTGTGGAGAATACTTTGTCCTTATTATCAGTTAAACATGATCAGAGCCATCTTGTCTCACAAAAGATTTTGGATCCAATTTACTTTTTTGCATTGGTTGATACCAAGGCTGTGTGGTTCAAAAAGTGGATGGTAAGGAAAAATGGAATGTTTTTATACTTTTCAGTGCATTGCTGTATTGTTTCAAAGAATAGCTAACATTCCAGTTTTTACTGTGTGCTAAGAGTTCTAATCACTTTTACATGTTAAACTCATTTAAATCTTACAGCAATCTATGAGATAGATGGTATTATTACCTCATTTTACTGATGTGGGATCTGAGGCATGGAGAAGTAACTTAAGATTGTTTACCTAGTAAGTGACAGAGCCAGAATGGGATTTTAAATGATAATTCATTTGAATCTAGTAAACTGAATGATCTATCCAAAATCTAGTCTTTTTTAGTTTAAAAGCTTCAGATTTTTTAAGTAGGTATGGTAGAATGTGAGTTCAATGTTCATTTTTCTCTGACTTAGGAAGTATGTCTGAAAATATCCTTTCATTTACTTCCTCCTGAACCTGTAGTTTGGAAAATGTTTAATGCCTGAATGCCGGTGATTTCCAAGGGAGCTCATTACTGTTCTGGAACTGAAACTAATTGAAGAGTAAAAGAGATCCTTATGCTGTTCCTCCCTTATCTGCTGAGGAATAAGAGTGGTCTGTGTGGTAGTAGCTGCAGCAGTGCTGGCTTTTATTCTTACATCTTTGTCCCTCTAAAACTGGTCTGCCAGGCATTATGTATTTGCTGCTGTGGGGAAGGGAGAAGGGTGGGGCCATGACTTGCCATGCAGAGCAGCAACATGTTTATTTACTGCTTGGCACAGTTTGGACATTACCTAGTTTGGCTTATTTTTATTTTTATTTTTGTTATCTAAACTGGATAGTAATGCCTAATTAACCAAAACCCAGTTCTGTCCAGGGTTTAGCCCTTACCTGGCCTATACTGTTTATGTTTGATAAGTGTTTGCTCAATTTAATTAACTTGAACCCTTTGTTTCTTACATCTGACACTTTCTCCTTAATTTTTAATTATCAAATTATACCTTTATTGTAGAAAACATGCGAAATATGTAAAACCACAAATTAAATTTCTATAACACAGGTATAACTATTAAGATTTTGGTTATGTAGTTACATTATATACAATTGTAAATTTATCGGTTTAGGTCTTTAACAAATCCTATTCTGTTGGGACTCCTGGGTGGCTTAGTCATTAAGTGTCTGCCTTCTGCTCAGGTCATGATCCCAGGGTCCTGGAATCGAGTCCCACATCGGGCTCTTTGCTCAGTGGGGAGCCTGCTTCTCCATCTGTCTGCTGCTCCCCCTGCTTGTGCTCGTTCTCTCTCTCTCTGACAAATAAATAAATAAAATCTTTAAAAGAAAAACAAATCCTATTCTGTTTATAATTTTTTCACTTAACATTTTTTATTGTTGGTACTTGATTCTCAAGAGTATGCAGCAGATCACAGGAAAACTAACCAACAGAAAATTCTTTAAAAAAAAATCAGCTCCTGAGTGTGTTCTAATATTAATGAAAATTCATCACATTACCCTATACTCATCTAAGTCAGAGGTTGGCAGACTTTCTAAAGGGCCAGCAGTAAATTTTTGGTTTTGTGGGCTGTACTGTCTCTGCACCTACTCAATTCTGTTGTAACCCAAAAGCATCCATAGATAATATATAAAACTTTATGTACCAAATCAGGTAGCAGCTGAACTTGGTGTGAGGGATATAGTATAGTGACTGGTCTAAGGCATGCTCAATGAGGATTTCTTTTCAGAACATGATCAGAAGTTGAATTGTTGGTTACCATTACTCTTTTAAAGCTGAAAAAAGGATTAATGGTTTTTGAAAACATTTTAAACCACTAGGGTTAAAACACACAGGGTTTCTATTAAACTTCAATTAACCAATACCCCATTTAATTAAACTCTATTTCCTAGAATTGTGATAGTTTTTTCCAAGTATAATACTGTTTAATAGTTTTTATTAAGTAAAATGAAGAAGCTATGTTGAAAATACATATCTAATATAATTTAGTAATATTGATGTATAGTCTCCCCTTTGTGCAATGCATAAAAAGCATGTTTTAATCCTACTATATTTAGCTCTAAGGAGAGAATTATTTTTTGGCACTTCAAATCACTTAAAATATGTGATTGGCAGGAAATGATTAAGATACTGTTCTTTCAGAACATTTCATGCTTGGCAAACTTCTGCATATGTAGACAGTAGAATATCCTCTTCATTGTGAGGGTTGTGATCTTCTCCTCCCCCACTTTTGTATCTTTCCTTCAGATATGTGTGTTGATAATGGTTTTAAAATAACTTAGCACAGAAACTGGTTGCATTTGAGGGATCGAATATTTTTTCTACTGGTCTGTTAATAAATGATCCGTAGATTTTTCTTATCATTTGCATTCTTGTGATTGCTATGCTCATAATCCATCATACATAGAAAAACCTGTTTTGTACTGATTACAATAATTTAAAACTGTTGTTGGTAATTTATGTTATTGGAAATGATGCAGGAAAAATAGACTTTGGTATAGCTTGAATATTAAATATCATTTTCTCCTAATTTTAGCATGCATATTATAGCAGAACTGCAGTACTAAGACTTCTAGAAAAGAAATATAAATCTCTGGTAAGTCTATTTCTGTCCTTATATTGAGAAATAATATCACAAAAAGATATACAGTATAATAAGTTGAATGTGCAAAGTTGAGTGATAATTAATCTTGGTTGATGAAACAATCCCCCTTTTATGTGATCTTTTTAAAAACTACCATTCTGTGAAATATAAAAGGATATAAGTAGAGACTTAAATTATAGTCAGGATAACAATTAGGAAATCCATAATTACAGAGTAAATTGAGATGCTTAACAAGCTAGTTTGAGATAAGCCCTATTTTTAAGTATTATAACTTAATTCAGGTTGGGTATTTGTAGGGGAGTTAGTTATGTAAAATATACCCAAGCTTTTGACTGAAGGTTGTATGAAAAACGCAGAATGTTAAATGCTTTTGTATTTACAAAATTAATTCAAGTTACACCAAATATAAACTAATACTGTAAAATATATTAGCAAAATTTTCTACATTTATTGCTATTGGTAGAATAGTATGTACAGGCATTGAAAGGAATTGAAAAGCAATCAAATCTAATAACAATTGACAAACATAAAATGTGAAATTTATTAAAATATTTTTAAAAGTTCTCATATGACTTTGAAATAAGTATTATTTCTGTAGTTAGAATCTTGAGTTTAAAAGGGCAAGTGAAATATTCCTAGAGTTGTGAACTCTCTGAGTGCAGTAGAGCATAAAATGAAAGAACAATAATTTTTCTGTGTTTGAGAATCAAGAACATTGAGTTTCAGAAAGGAGAAGAGAGGAATGTTGAAGAATAGAGTGAGGATTTATTAGTAGAAGTAGTAAGTGTTTGGGGCACCTGAGTGGCTCAGTCCATTAAGTGACTGACTCTTGATTTTGGCTCAGGTCATGATCTCCAACAGAGGGAGGCTCCAAGCTCAGCAGGGAGTCTGCTGGAGATTCTCACTCTCTCCCTCTGCCCCTCCCCCTACTTGCAGGGCTGCTCTCTTTCTTTTTATCTCTCTCTCTCTCAGATAAATCCTAAAAAAAGTAGTGTTTAAGAATTTTTAATGAATTGAAATAGTCTTTCCACATCTCATTTCCCTCCCATTCCTATTTTAAATGAAGATTTTTGCCATATGAATATAGACTGATCCTGTCAGAATAGAGGAAGTGGGGAGAAACCCCAGTGATTCACCCTCCCCATGGTCTGTCATACAAATAATTTACTGTTGCTATCACAGGAGCCTGGGTGGAAGTTTTGCAAATGTTTCTGATAGATTAACTTTTTAAATAAGGAACAAATTTTTAAGAGTTAATTATACTATAATCAGTTTTTAGTCTGAAAATAGTTACTTTATTATAAAGAACTTTATATCAAATACATCCTGTACATAATGGGTCAAACTTGCATGAGATTTCAACTTAAACCTTATTTTCTCTTAAAAAGCTTTCCTAAACTTACAAAATATGAGTGAGTTCATAATAATAGAGGATGGATGGCAACTCAGGTACACTTACTTGCTAACTCCTAAGATGGAGGAAGGGCAGGGGAGGGAAGTTAAAAAAACAGGGTATGTGAAAAACCAAGAGAAAACTTAAATTTTAGCTGTCAATATTTTTTTTAAATGACTTTGCGAGGGCAAGAAAAAGGAAATACACTACATAAAGCCATTTCAGAAGTCATTCCCTTAAGGGTAGATTGGGCAAAGAATGAAGTTGTTTAAATAAAAAGTTAAATATTTATGCTGATAGCCAAAATGCTTTTCAGCTAGTTCATGACTTTACAATGCTATGGAAATAAAGCTCTCAGCTTTCTCAGTTCTTAAAAATAGACAGCACGGGGGTGCCTGAGTAGCTCACTCAGTTAGCATCTGCCTTCCGCTCAGGTCATGATCCTAGGATCCTGGGAATGGAGCCCTATATTAGGCTCCCTGCTCAGCAGGGAGTTTGCTTCTCCCTCTGCCCCTCCCCCCCATGCTTGTATACACGCTTTCTTTCTCTCAAATAAATAAATAAATAAATAAAATCTTAAAAAAATTGACAGCAAGCACATAAATTGTGTTGCCTAATGCTACCTACTTAAAATTTCATAAGTGTCATAAATGTAATAGAATTGCACAGAGTAGCCACTAACCATGTATTAGTTTTAAATTATAATTAAGGAAAATTAAAAATACCCAGTTCCCTCAGTTTCCCTAATTACATTTCAAGTTTTCAGTAGCCACATATAGCTAGTGGCCACTCTGCTGGACAATGCAAACATTCCTCAGTTGCAGAAAATGCTATGAGACTATGGAGAAGCTAGAAGAAATGCTTTAGCAGGTCATCGTGCCAAACCCACTGCCATGATTAAAGCCTTTATGTAAGGAGCTCTAACAAAGCAAAAGACAAATGCATGGAATGGTCTTAAAGTTCCCACTGTACGTGCACAAAATCTGATCTTCAATTCTGAAAAGTAGGGATAGAGTTTATATTCATTTTTCCCAATGTTTCTTTTCAAAAGTTGGGCCACATATACTTTAAAATTTATACACACACACACATACACACACACACACATCTTTTGATATTTGCATCTACTGAATATATAAAGGAGTTCTCCATAGGGAATAGAAAGCTGATCTAGTTCATATTCTGCTGGCTAGATAGGAAGAAAAGACTCTAAGGCAAGGGAACTGGGGATATTGGCAAGAGAGTTCTTAAAGTCATGGTCACAGAATTTTTGCATCTTTCACTGTAAAGTATGAAGTATGTATCTATTTTTGTCCATTGACACTGACATTATAGCAATATTGTTGGTCCACAAGTATGAATGATGCCATTGTTAAAATATAATTGGGGAGGCTGAGCTTCAGTGGCCTGGAAAAATATTATTTTAAATATTTTTCTTAAATAATTTTTCGAGCATATTTTTAGAACCTTAATTAACTTTTTTTTTTTTTACTGCTTGAACTTGGGGGCTGTAAATTTCTAGAATTAATAAGTTATTATTTTATTAGATAACTACAGCAGTTCAGCAGTGTGTTCAGTACTTTGAGTTGTGTGAAGCCATGAAAGCCGATGAGATTTTGGGTCATTCAAAGCATTGTGGTAAGTATTGTTTTCCTCTGTTACATACTTTTAAAGATGATACCTTTTAGTAACTTAGTTTTTAATGGTCAGTAGCATGGTAAATTAGATCACTTCTGCTAATGTAAAATATTTTCACAAATTTAAAAGACACAGCATGATGATGACTTTAATAACAGCTGTACATTTGAAATTAATGCATTATCATATGGATTGTTACATATGCAGTTCTTCAATTTATACTAGAGTATATGTCCTAGTCTGTTATATTGAGATAAGATACTGTTCATTCTTTCCTCTGGTATATTAGTCATTTAATTGACCTTTATGCGTTTTAGGAAGAGAACATTTCTGTAAAATACTGTTTTATTACTGGATACCCCACCCTTTGATTCCTGTCTGCTTATCCTCTTTCTGAGCTAAAATACCCTAGATGTTTCATAATCTGGCCTTAATTACTCTGTTGAATCTCAGGAATAAGTAAAGTGGATCTTCTCTTATAGTCAGATTCTGCTACGTACCAATGTCTATACACTTTTGTTAATCTTTTTTCCTTCTCTTTTGTCACGTCTCTAAGCAAATAGTACGTTCTCTGAGAATATGAAGATCTTATTTTTTTTTTATCCTTGGGTAAATTCTTTATCTAATTCAAGCAAGAAAAATGGTCAAAGACCAGTAATTAGTGGGTTTCAAAAGCTAGTGTTTTGTAGTAAAGGGGGAAGTATAGAAGCCAGAATTTATTCAAGAGGAGGAAAAGGATAAGTTTATATAAACTTACCTCATTTATAAATTTATGGATTTTTAAAATTTCTTGATATTAAAATGTTATATCTAGTGATTTTTTTCCTCCCCCTACCATTCTACTAGGACATCATGGCTTTGCTCTCTTCCCTATCTAGTGAAGACCTGGGGTGCTTCATGCTTTTTTTTTTTAGCCATTTCTTTCAAAATCCTTGCTCTTTCTCTTTCATTTCAGAGTTTCCTGTCTGCAGTTTCTTGTCTTTAGATCAACTCAGTCTTCCATCCTCTCTGGTCTTCAGGAAATTGAGCAGAGAGCATTTGTTATGCATTCAGTGGGCATACTGCTTTTCTAACCATAGCAACTGTGTTGCATCCTCTTAGGTATTTTTTCTTCAGTGTCCACAATAGCTATTGCAAGCTTTTACCAGTCTTATCAAGGGCCCTGCTTTACCCTGGCTCACTTTTCTTTCAAGAGGAGACTTTGCATCCTACTACACTAAGAAAAGTAGAACTTGGCAGATATGAATTCCCCAAATGTCCTGCTTCTGAGCATACAAATGCATGTTTATATGCTCTTATCAATATCCCTTTTCTTTGGACTGCGCTGAATAGGTATTCTTTTCCAGATTGATTTTTTGTTCTTGATTCTGTTCCCCTCTGGTGTTCTTTGGGTTTTGTTTCCATGTTTTAGAACTGGGACATTGCTTCACTTCTTACTGTGTCTCTCTTTCTGTTGGTACTTGCCCTGCATTATCCGAACCTCCTGCAGAGAAGCTTCCCTGCAGAGAATACTCTTTTAAGTATCCTAAATACGCCCAGGGCCCATTTCTTTACCTCCTATTCACTTTTCAACAATGGAAATGAGGCAATTTCTAGTGCTCCATATCTTCCCTTTATCCATTTCCCCTCTTTCTTGTCCTAATTTTATAGCCTTTGCCTCTGTTGACCCTTTCTTCTTCTTGGTACCATTCTTTCTTGGAATTCCTCATTCTCATGAGGAATCCTCATTCACTGGAAAGGCTCTTTTCTTTGTATGTGTGTATTCACAAGGGTGTTGCCCTTTTTTCTCACCTTAGTCTACCTGTTCTCTCTGCGGGAGCCCATTTACTTTCATGGTTTCAAAAACTATATATGTGTGTGGTGACTCTGAAATATTTAAGTCTGCCACTTTACTGAATTCCAGATCCATATACCCTTATCATACTTAGAATATCTATCCGGGTGCTCCATGGGCACTTTAATATTAAAATATCAAAGACTGAAATCACTTTATTCTGTATCTAGAGTGGTTTCTCCCTCCTTTCTCCTTTAGAATTACTTAAATTCACTATGTATACAGACGTTGAGGTAGAAACTCGAGAATTTTCTTATTCTTTCACAGTCCCCATGTCTAAGGCCTATTGACTTAATTTTCTTCAAGATTTATCTGTCTTCTCTTCTCCATTCTTGTTGCTGATGCTTTTGCTCATGATTTTTTTTTAGTCTGATTTCAGACCTTTACCTTCTTCCATCTACCTTTTATGCTACCATCAGGGTTAGTTTTTTTTTTTTTTTTTAAAGATTTTATTTATTTATTTCAGAGAGAGAGAATGAGAGAGAGCACATGAGAGGGGGGAGGGGCAGAGGGAGAAGCAGACTCCCTGCCGAGCAGGGAGCCTGATGCGGGACTCGATCCCGGGACTCCAGGATCATGACCTAAGCCGAAGGCAGTCGCTTAACCAACTGAGCCACCCAGGCGCCCCAGGGTTAGTTTTTTACATGCATATTTGATTACTTTCATGCTCATAACACTTTAATATCATTTCAATCACCTCTATAATAAAATCCATATTCCTTTTGTAGCTTAGTCCTCTGTTATCTGCCCCTGACCCTCAAATTCTGGTCATGCCAGACTGCCATGAAATTGGAAGCCCAGTTTCATGCTTCTTACTGGTTTTTGACACCAGCAAATAATTCATGGTCTTATATCAAACAGGTACTCAGTAGATCTTGAATATATGGATGAATGATATGTATTAGGTGTATATATTTTACAGATTCTAATTTCATTTGCTAACATGGTTATAAATACAATCTTTTATAGTATTGACTTTTAATTGGTAGAATTAAACAGTAATATTTTCTATTGACTTCCTCCCTTAACTTATTCTTGAAGTTCCTCTTGATAACAAATGATAATTCTGACAATCTTATGCTGATTTAGAAGGAATACTGTATGCATCTTACACTTCCCTGAGCTTAAATTTTGTGATGAATGCTTTTCCCCAGAGATTTAGGTGTTATAGAATCTTAAGAAAGATAATTAACTTTTTTTTTTTTTTTAACACCAACAGAGTCTTCATTATAGACTGCAACCTTATTTAATGTTTGGAAGGGAATGAAGATAGGTACTATCTAAAATATAATGCATTAAAATAAATATTTGTTTGCTTCTCTTTTAAGGGAACAAACAGAAAACCTTCTACTACTCAGGACAAGAATTACAATATATTTATTTCATTCACTCACTGTGCCTTTTAGGAAGGTTATTGATCTATACACAAGGCAGACGGCTATTTCCCATAAAGCTGAAGAATAGAAAAGGTAAGTACAATTAGGAGAAACGAATATGTCAGCTTGGTAAGGTTAATGTGCTATGAATTACTAAACTTTGGAGATTTTGCATGGTCTCTTCTAGGATACTTAGTGACATACCTTTTAGTCTACTGATGGCTTGTATACCTTGAAGTATTACATTTGCTCTTATCAGTATGTGCTTTTCCCCTACATTCTAGTTTTTTCTATTCATCCAGCCTTTAATGCTTTCCTTATTTCTCCCTGTCTTTCAAAATCCTAGACATACTGAACGATCCAGATCTGGATTCAGAACTAGAAGACCTTGTTTAAATTCTAGTTCCCTTATAAACTGGTTATGACCTTTGGGCAACTCACTTAACCATTGCTTGTTTTTTTAATCTACAAAGATGGAATAATATCAGTGATACTGAGCTCACACAGTTTTTGTGATGATTAGAGATGTGGTTTCAGAACGCTGTTTTATAAACTGCAAAGCCCTGTACCATTTGATACATTACTATGTTACCCTAAGTCCTATTTTTAAAGTTCTCCCCATCAAACTTCAGCACATGCTATTACTTTTTTGCCTCCCTTAAAACTTTAAGTCTATATAGGACTATAGTCTAGCGACCAGCAAACTTTTTCTGTAATGTGTCTGATAGTAAATATTTTTGGTTTTGTGGGCTACATACTGTCTCTGTTGCATATCCTGTATATTTGTGTATTCATGTGCTCATGTGTGCAAAAGAGTTATCACAGCAGGCCTGAGACTGCTATCCTCAGGAAAGCCTGCTTGCAAGGTTGCACTAGCGGGCGTCTGGGAACTTGGATTTCTCACTCTTCCCAGAACTGATAAGAATGGTTCACTGTGCCTACCTAAACTGTCTGTACGCACAATGTAGTTTATACTGAATACTTGCTTTCCTTCTGGGAGTCTGGAATCCTGGTATGTGCTAAGTAGAGTGTGCTTACATCATCAGCCCCCAGTAAAAAGCTTGGGCACTGAATCTCTAAGGAGCTTCTTGGTAGCCAACATTTTACGTGTGTTGTCACAGCTTGTTGCTGGAAGAATTAAGTATATTTTGTGTGACTCCACTGGAAGAGGACCCTTGGACGTTTGCACCTGGACTTCACCTCATGTACTTTTGCTTTGTATCTTTTGTTGTGAAATACCATAGCTGGGAGCACAACTGTATGTTGAGTCCTCCTACTGAACCATTGAATCTGGGTATGGTTTGGGAGACCCTTGACACAGTTTACACACCTTTATTTATTTATTTATTTTTAAAGATTTATTTATGTATTTATTTGTCAGAGAGAGAGAGAGGGGGAGAGAGGGACACAAGCAGGGGGAGCAACAGGCAGAGAGAGAAGCAGGCTCCCCACTGAGCAAGGAGCCCGATGCGGGGCTAGATCCCAGGACCCTGGGATCATGACCTGAGCCGAAGGCAGATGCTTAACTGACTGAGCCACCCAGGTGCCCCATGTACACCTTTAAAAGTGTAAAACAAAACAAAACATTTTTAGCTTACGAGCCTTACAAAATTAGGCTATAGTTGCCAATCCTATTATGGAGTTTGCCAATAATTGCTATAGTTTGCCAATCCTATTATGGAGTATCTTCATTTTGAATACTTTTGTACCGTTCCCTAGTTGTTTTACTTAAGGTTTTCTCCTCAGTTACACTGGTTGTGAGCTCCTCAACAAAAACTGTTTTATGTACTGATATATCCTGTGGTCATGTAATTCTAGGCATAATGAGCACTTAGAGAATGAACTTTCAAGAAAAGAGCTGCCATTTTATAGGATATTGTTGAACTTTACAGAAATAGAAAGATTAATAAATGCTTGTAATGTTACTGCAAGTATTGAACTGAAGTTTATATGTCTATCATCTGTAATTTAGCACTTTATGTTGACTTTTAACATCGACCTTTTGGCCTGACGAATGTCATAGGTCATCTCAAAACTCAGTTTTGAGAGCTTTGTTCTACTATATTAGCGTAAGTCAACAGTTACCTCTAAGTTTTACCTGCATTTTCACCAGAATCTTGATGAAAATAGTCTGCAGCAGGGGTTGGTAAATTACAACCCATGGGCCAAATCTGGTACTGTTTTGTATGGCTTGTGAGCTAATTACTAGAAAAAATTATGACTATTTTGTGACATGTGGAATAAAATTAAAATTTTGGTGTATGTAAAATCTTATTGGAAGACCACTGTACTTGTCCATTTGCAAATTGTCTATGGCTACTTTACAACATCATAATTGAGTATTTGTAACAGAAACAGTTTGGCCACTGAGCCCAAAATATTTCCTCAAAAAAGTTTGATACCTTTTCTACAGTTCTATATAGATAAGTTGGCTGGAACAACATATGAAGCTGAATTTTATCATTCCTAAAAAACTCATGGTCCTAATGAGATTCCAAGATCTTCCTGCTGTAGGTTTATATGAAGTGACGGGTCCACCATAAGTGGTAAAACTGCACCTGCACATAGGACCTGCTGTGTTACTGTCCTTGCCACCTTTTAACTTCCCATGTCTAATTTGTTTTCCTGGGGCCTTCTGTCCGGGGTTCCAGCTCCCTTCTCCTAATTTTACCACAGTCTCTGAAAACTCAGGAGGATGGGAAGCTCAGTTAAATTTTTCTAAGTTGTAAGTGTATACTAGAAAATAATCTTTTTCTTTTTTCCTTTTCAAAGATTTAGTATCCCTTACAGATCTTCTGGTTCTGTTTACCCAACTTATCTATTACTCACCGAGTTGTCCAAAGATGACATCAGCTGCACATTTAGGTAATTCTGCTTCTATTTTAAATAGTGTAATAGAAAACATCTAAAAATACTTAATATTCCATTGTGTAGACATTTTGAGTGACTGACCTAGTTTTGGTAAAGAGGTTTCCTAAGATGCAGTATTATTCATAACAAATTACGTTGGTCCTGGAAGTAAACCATGAAATTTAATTTTATTCATTGATCTTTTAAGATGTTCCTAATTTTCTACCTTTTTATGTAGAATTGATTTTTCTGAGAATTTTAATGTTGTTCTTAAGATCAGGATGTTCTTAAGAAATGCTACTAAGGGAAATTTGATTGATAGGTACTAATGTGTTCTTTCTTGCTGTTTTCTATGCTTTATACTTGCCTGATGTTTTGATCAGCCTGCTTGTTTTAGCTCACATCTAAAACTTCAGATCTTCTCTTATGAAAGAATAAAGCAAAAGCAAAAACTTCATGTTTTTGAATATAATAACTTTTAGTCTTTAGCTGTTGACTGGCTTATAAAAAAGTGGTTTACAATATTTACATTTAAAAGATAACTTACACTTTTTCCTTTGACTATCAGTGAAAGTTTACAAAGTAAAACACTTTAATAACAAAACACTCCCATAATCTATAGGCTCACAGTGTTCTAAATCTGGAAATTACTGTAGAGATGCTGGCAAAATTCTGAGAAGAATTCAAGTGAATCAAAGAAAAAAAGATAGTTTGGGCCATATATATTAATGCTATATGCACCTATCAATCAGTATGTTTTATTTATGTAATTATAACAGCTTATTAGTCTTAACAATGGCTCTCAAATTTCTTTCTGCCTTTACAGCATTTCTATGTATAAACATGTAGCTTATGTCCTCCTGTGATATGTTCCTATAACATACGGTGCTTCCTTTGTTAAAAATGTTCCTTCTTATAATTATTTGCCAGTGTCTTGGTTTACCATCTAGTGGCCTGTTTTTTGATTTTTTTTGTGTCTTAGTTACAGTGCCTAGCACAGTGTCTGGCACATAGTAGGCACTCAAAAATAGATAAAAGAATGGATGAATGAATGAATGGCCATATGCTCATCAGTAGTATCTCTCATTGCAAACAGGGTCTGGAACTGGTTGGAAAAAAAATCACTAAACTTTTCTTCTCCATTTTCTTTTTGTCAAGTATTGACTTGAAGTCTTAGTGTGTTCATGGAGTATAGAATATTGTAACCTAAATTAAGAATTTTGGTGTTACCTTTAGTATTATTTAGTATTACAACCTAAGCTGCTAACTTTTGGTTCCTTACATTCTTGTAGAACACTATTTTGTGAGTATATTAGGTAATATAACCTGAAAATATATTGATTTATGAAACCAAAAATATCACACTTATTTTAGTGACTATTCCCTGTGTTACATTTATTTGTATTTGTGTTTTCCTGTGTATATTTTAAAAGAAAGTTTTTACAATCCTCATTCATTTCACCAGTTTTATGGTGATACGGGTAGTGGTGTGTTAGTCTTAAAGGAGGTTTTACCTTTTCTGCCCTTTTAGCCATCATTTTGCTTTACTTTCATTTTCTACTAGGCTGGACACTTGAATACATATATTTTTTTCTTTTTAAAGATTTATTTATTTATTTGAGAGAGAGAGTGCCTATGCGACTGGGGTGTGAGGGGCACAGGGAGAGGGAGAGAGAGAATCTCAAGCAGACTCACCATTGAGCTTGGAGCCAGAAGTGGGGCTCTGTCTCGTGATCCCGAGATCATGACCTGAGCTGAAATCAAGAGTCAGATGCCTAATTGACTGAGCCACCTAGGTGCCCCAGAAACATATTTTAAGAAAAAAGAAAAAGTGAATACAAGTGTTTGCTGGGAGGAGAAGAGTTGTACATTTGCTTCAAATCACATCTGCACTGTTAGCAGTGACTTAATGTCAAACAGTGAATGATCTTCTGTTGTTTCTCAGCATTCAGATTTGTCATTTACTTTTGAAAAATTAACTTGAGGATATATTGAGCTTAATTGATCACCCCTTAGGTTTCAGGTTATGACTTGACAATACCACATCCTTTGGGCATTGCGTTGTGTGATTTTTTTTTTTTTTAAACTATTTAACTTTGATGTTGATCTTTTTAGAACAGCAATGGCTAAGTCATAAATAAGATATATTAAGTTCTTAATGTTTAAAATTTTAATATCTAGAAGTACTTGTTTATCAGATAATTACTCTCCTGCAAGTATGGTGACTGAAGTTCTTCGGATACTCTGTGATCAAAAAGAATGTGCAATCGAATGCTTATATAATAACACTGTGATTGAGGCACTTCTTCAGCCTATTCATAATTTAATGAAAGGAGCTAAGGTTGGTATTTACTAAAGAGAGTCTTTTAATTGGGTATTGGGAATATTCAATGGGACTTTATTTTTAAATTTGACGTATTTGAAATATTTATTAGACTATCTTTCCACATATGAATGTATTTTATGCTGACCCTAGATTTTTATTTAATGTTAAATCATAGTTTATGTAGTCAGTTGATTTATTTGTTATTTACAGTGTAGGGGGAAAATACATATAACATAATTTTCTTTTCTAGTCAGGCTTAGGTATAAGGATTGAGGGAAGTTATTAAGGTATTTGTCTTGGCAAATCTAATCTTGTGAATTTTATTATTTGTTTTAACAGTAATTTTATAGCCTTTACATTATTTTTCTGAAGAGTCAGCTCTGTTTTATGTGAAGAACTAGTTTTTTAGGAAAAAAACAACTTACACATATGTTCAGAACTGGGATGCTCATCTCTCTTTACAGTTTGTATGGCCCGTTCCTTTGCATTTTGTAATTGAATCCTTACAACTGTGGCTGAAAGAAGTGGATTGCTCGAGGTCCGACATTTAACAGGTGGCAGAGTTGGTACCACTACTAACACTGCTATCTGTCCATTTCTATGACTTAAGCTTCGGGGGAATGACTTAAATCTTAATAGGCTAAAGGTTTTGCCTTTCCATGTCTGTGTTTTGTAGTGTTTTTACTGTTTTCATCTCCTGTGCCCACTCCTCAATGGGCTGGGCAACTATTCATCCCATCATATAGTCATTATTCGTTGCTCATTCAGAAAACATTAAGCATTTATGTGAATGTGGTACAAAGTATGGAATTCTAGGAAATTAAGGGGCTGTAATTTTGATTTTATGGTTAGCCTTAGGAAGATAAGCAGAGAAGGACCAATAGAATTCCTAATACAGTTTAATGTAATAAAATGCCATAATGTCAATGGTAATATGAAATATGAACCTCATACCAGAGTTGAGAAATGTGCTCTTGGATTTTGTTTCAGAACTGTTGTTTGTCTTTGCTTTCATATATCTTTAACTTTTTATCTTCTTGTGGCTTCTTTCCTTTATCTGTAAATATGCCTGAATCTGTCTCATAGTTGGGATGAGAGAAGCCCTTGATCATCCAATGCACATCTTTAGCTACCACCTAATATCTGATCTTCTTAACAATTAATTATGGAAGACTGCCATTGTTTCCTGGCTCCCTCTATTCTGTCATGTTTCAAAACATTGTTGGGTGCCTGGGTGGCTCAGTTGGTTAAGCGACTGCCTTTGGCTCAGGTCATGATCCTGGAGTCCCGGGATCGAGTCCCGCATCGGGCTCCCTGCTCGGCAGGGAGTCTGCTTCTGCCTCTGACCCTCCCCCCTCTCATGTGCTCTCTCTCTCAAATAAATAAATAAAATCTTTAATAAAAAAAAACAAAACAAAAAACAAACAAAAAAAACATTGCATTTTGATCTTACCTCCATCACATCATTGATTGCTGTTGCTTGTAACTTCCTACACCTATAACTAGTGACCACTTTTCAGACTATTATCTACCTGATTATTAACACAGTAGACAACTTCTAAAATTGTTTATCTGGCTTTCCTAAGTTCCTATATATTTTTTGCCCTCCCTTTCTAACCATTCTTTCCCTGTCACCTATGAGGGCTCCCCTACCAGGTCCCTGCTGTCTTCAGTGAGTCACGACCTGGTTCACTCTTTTCTCTCAGAAGAGAGTTTTCCTAGGTGATTCCCTCCAGTCATGAAGATTAGATGTATAGTTAACATCTAAGTTTAGATCTCTTCAGCTCTAGAGTTGTCTTTAGATGCCTGCTGAACACCTTTTTGAGTTACTCCATGAGCAAATCAAATGCAATTTTCAAAACAGTAGTTTTTGGTTTGTCAGTTTTTTCTTTTTCATTTTCTTTCTTTTCTTTTCTTTTTTTTTAAGATTTTTTTATTTTTTATTTGACACAGAGAGAGAGAGAGAGAGTACAAGCAGGGGAAGCGGCAGGCAGAGGGAGAGGGAGAGGGAGAAGCAGGCTCCCCGCTCAGCAGGGAGCCCCATGTGGGG